TCCTAGCCTTTAAAATCCCTCATGTTTGCCTTCCCTCCTAACCTTTAAAATCCCTCATGTTTGCCGTATCTCCTAGCCTTTAAAATCCCTCATGTTTGCCGTACCTCCTAGCCTTTAAAATCCCTCATGTTTGCCTTCCCTCCTAGCCTTTAAAATCCCTCATGTTTGCCTTCCCTTCTAGCCTTTACAATCCCTCATGTTTGCCGTACCTCCTAGCCTTTAAAATCCCTCATGTTTGCCATACCTCCTAGCCTTTAAAATTCCTCAAGTTTGCCTTCCCTCCTAGCCTTTAAAATCCCTCATGTTTGCCGTACCTCCTAGCCTTTAAAATCCCTCATGTTTGCCGTACCTCCTAGCCTTTAAAATCCCTCATGTTTGCCTTCCCTCCTAGCCTTTACAATCCCTCATGTTTGCCGTACCTCCTAGCCTTTAAAATCCCTCATGTTTGCCATACCTCCTAGCCTTTAAAATCCCTCATGTTTGCCATACCTCCTAGCCTTTAAAATCCCTCATGTTTGCCTTCCCTCCTTGCATTTAAAAACCCTCATGTTTGCCTTCCCTCCTAGCCTTTAAAATCCCTCATGTTCACTGTCCTTCTTGCCTCCCTCTTATGCTTACCACCCCCGTCCAACATAATCTGTACAACATAATCTGCAGTTCTGTATTTCTCTTCTAGAAGCAATATGTATGAATGGAGTGACAGAGTTGTACAGACTGTTAAAAGAGTAGATTGGGATACAAGAAATGGTCCTGTAGAACACAATGTACAGATGTTGGTGACACCTAAAGTAACTGTAAGTAGAAGTTTAAGAATAATATAGAATTCTGCAGCAGATTACAGTACAGTACGGCATTCATACAACTTTTCATATTCGTACCGCATATATATTGAATACATTGTAATCTCACTTTTATTCCCATCATTTATTGATCACATTCTGGTTGTGCGTTTAGTGTTTTTTCATCATATACATGTATATTAATATACACATTGTAGCCAATGTAGTCTTGGAAAACACAAACATCTCCACCTAACTGTAATCTCCATTGTATTAGAGATTATGTACTTCTTCCATAAAATTCCATAGAATAATAAATCACATTACTAGGCTATTATTTGAAAAAAAAAAATATTCATAACGAGGCATGGTTCGATAAAAATCACAAAGCAATACCTGATGTGAAAAGAACAAATTAGATAAATGTGAGACGCGGATGTGATAAATATGTGATGAATGTGTGAGACAGACGAAACGGAATTAAATTGAAAGCAAAATTGTTTGAACATTTACATGTGTATGCTGCATTTATTCAGATCATCACAGTTGTTGCAAACCTGCTGGCATATCTATATCCCATCATACATGATATTGAGAATTCCGCTGAATCCCCTTATAAATATGGTTTCCTTTCCATGTTTTTGTAATTGGAATGGGTGATTATTTTGCCGATGTGTGTATGCATTTAAGGGCTATTTTTAAAAACCATGTTCGAACATGGGTACCCATGTTTCAATTCAAGTGCCACCCCTATTGTTTCACAACGAAAGCATTAACAAAAAGTGAAATTCTGTTTTTTCATATACTGAAAACTATTATGTGTAGTAATTCATTGACGATATTGACATGCTATTTTTTTGGCAGAGAGAAGTCCGTCGCCATTTTGATTGTGAATTATTGGAAGGCATTGAAATCGAGAATCAAGGTGGAAGTGGTTCTGAATTGTCACATTTTGAGAAAAGACTTTTAGAAGTAAGTTTATTAGGTTTGTAGTCAATCACTATTTGAAAAACTTAATTTGGTCTCTGAAGAGATGTGCATTCTCACAAAATTTGTTGAAAATATGGTGTACCCATTTCATTATAGTGAAATTGAAAGTACTGATGGCAAACCCTCATATTGCCTGAAATGTACCCAGCGTATGTTTTGACAATGATGCAATAATGAGTTTTCTGTTATATGGCAGAATGAAGCAATGACAGGAATTCACTCACAAACCAGAGTGTTCTCGCGCATTTCATTAGCTCTGATGGAGGACACAGGATGGTACGTTTGCAATTATGATATGGCTGAGCCATTACTATGGGGAAAGGATCTTGGCTGTGATTTTGTTAAAAAAAGTTGTAAAACATGGATTGATATACGAAAAAGTCAGTAAGTACATTAGTTGAGTAATTCCAGGAAACCATAAGATTAAATCATTTTCTGTATTACCCGGTATATAGAAGCGCATCTTCAATCCGTGAAAAATATTTTAACAATGCTGTAGTTCTAGGACTATTGACATGTTAGTGTGATGAATGAGTTGAATCTGAATCTACATATGTGTAATGTCAAAGTCAACTTATACATACATGTACATGTGCTCTTTCATGCTTCATTAATCAAGGAAAAGGATGGTATTTTAGCAAGATGGTCATGTTCACTCATTTGCATTAACACAGGGATCCCCATGAAAATTTTCCTGCTAGTAGCAATTTCACTTCACCTATTTTGAAAGTTGTAGTGGATACTATCACCAATGTTGACTGATTGTTTATTTTAACAGAGACGAGGAAACTGAACCATTCTGTGATACGGTCAGTTCCGTTGAATTCAAGCTACAGTGTAATATAGATCGATCATCGGTAGCTTTGTGCAATATACATAAATACGACACTGAACTACCCGCTGAATTCCAAGTAAGTAACAGAAAAAGATATCAGGATATTTTTATGCATATTAAGTGACTCATTTGCATATCCATTCCATATAAGATTGTACTAGATATACTTGTATTATATAAAATGGATTAGACCATTTTTTGATGTTGTTTTATACTGTACTGTTATCTAACACAACTAAGTACATGTACTCAAAATGAATAATGTCAATAGAGTTATATTAAAAGGGTGAGGTGGGTGGGAGAGAAAACACAACGTCTGGCTGGCTTGGCGATACGAACTGAGTACTGAATTAAAAAAGCCGGCAAACACATAGTTTATTTATTTATGCTAATAGGGCAGCATAGTCTATATGATTGGTCACAATTGAAATATGCAGATTTGACCTTTAAATCACTAACCTCCCAAAGGCGCCACTAGCTCTTCTGTATTTAAAACTCTTAACATTGCCTTAAATCCAGGTACGGCCTGTGAGGGCACTGCACCACAGCAATAGGGACAGGCAGTTTGGGAGGTCAAAGAGAATAACGCACACATACACATAGATGTCTTGCATCCATATAGGGGGTAGTTTATTACTAAAACACTATGAACTAAGAAACCAGTGTTTTCACAAGGAATATGCAAATTTATGCAAATGATATGTAAATGTGAACATGCTGACTCTGAAAACACTTGTAACATACATATCTCGAATGTGTGAATTTTTAGTCCTCGTTCGGACGCAGTCCAAAAACGGGGACTTATGTTTTGACCTCCGTGTGTCCATGCGTGCGTGCGTGTGTGCGTGCGTGCGTGCGTCTGTGCGTGCGTCTGGACCTGTATCTTAGAAATGCCTGGACCAATCACAATCAAACTTCACACATACATCATACATGATATTATACATATGCACGTCAATTTGTTTCACGATCTGATTCAAGATGGCCAAATGGCGGCCATTTTTGTGCTAAAAAATCCTAAAAATCAAGCATTTCTCGGCTGTTTACAGATGGATTTTGTTCAAACTTGGTATATACATTAGACATTATAGGACCTTGATGCAAATAATTTTGTTTTTCAGATAAGATTCAAAATGGCCGACTGGCGGCCATTTTGTTTTAATGAATGTGGTTCTCGTGCCATATCTCTGACTTGCTTTTACTGATTATGTTCAAATTTTAAATATTTATTATACATCATGTCATAGATAGACAAGATATATTGGTTTGACGATCCTATTCAAAATGGCCAAATGGTGGCCATTTTTGTGCTAAAAAACATCAAATATCAAGCATTTCTGGCATTTATGGATGGATTTCGTTCAAACTTGGTACATATATTAGACATTACAGGTTCCTGATGCACGTCATTTTATTTTTCAGATCGGATTCAAAATGGCTGTCTGGCGGCCATTTTGTTTTAATGCATGGGCTTTTAGACCCATATCTCCGACTTGTTTTGACTGATTATATTCGAATTTTAAATATTCATTATACATCATGTCATAGATAAACAGATATATTGGTTGGATGATCCTATTCAAAATGGCTGAATGGTGGTCATTTTTGTGCTAAAAAATCATCAAATATTGAGCATTTCTGGCATTTATGTATGGATTTTGTTCAAACTTGGTACATATATTAGACATTACAGGTTCCTGATGCACGTCGTTTTATTTTTCAGATTGGATTCAAAATGGCTGACTGGCGGCCATTTTGTTTTAATGATTGGGCTTTTAGAGCCATATCTCTTAAATGCTTTGACTGGTTATATTCAAACTTTATATATTCGTTATACATCATGTTATATATATATATACATGTATTCAAAATCTCTCAATATGGACAAGTACTTGTTTGACGATCAGATACAAATGTCAATCCTTTTAATGTTAAAAAATCATATTCCTGAAATGGTTATATTCCAGCTATATTACTATAAACAAAATTATATATCTTAAATTTGATAACTAACGGGGACTGTGCCATGCATGGCTTGTGATCTACTGTATCACTGATTTTTGAAGCCTCACTGTAACAGAAACATAAATATGCTTAAAGGACGATGATCGTGCCCTGTTCAATATGGTACTTATAACGACAGATACAACGAATGATAAATACATTGTTTGTTTACATGAAATTTGTACACTTGCTTGCAATGACCAGTGACCTTTGAATTATTGGAACTTATAATTTGAATATTTGTTCTCAAAAATTGACGAGAAATAAAACGTGATGGAATTGGTGGTTGCTAAATGTTGTGCTTCAATGTAACTTGTCGTGTATCCTCAACCAGCCTATCCAACTTGATTTCATTATAGATCCATACAAAATGAGTTCAGTTTATAGAGTGCAGCACTGTGGGATGAGTGGGACACAGTCTGTTGGCGCACACGTGATAATAAAATGAGTGCGATATTTACTAAATGTATATGGGGGGCGCCATCTTGAATGCAGCATAAAACTAAATAAGAGTCAAGTTGTGAAACGCGTTTTTCAGATTTCTACAAATCAGGACAAAAATGCCAATCTTTCACAGAAATACGATCCGATAGCCAACCAATAACAAAATTCAGTTGAATTCGTCGTTTTTCTGTGTAAAAATCCCTTAAATACGAAAACCTAATTACACAAAGAACGTAGAACACTTTCCTGGGGTATTTGAAACCAAAAATTGACATTCCAGCTCAGCAACCAATCAGTGACGGCCTTACAGTTAGATGACAAATTGGCATGTTCATTGTATGTACCAGCTTGGCACCACCCTGCACACCTGTATCTGTTTCAGTACAAGTTGAGATTTATTCCATCTCAATCAATGATGGGTGCAGTAACAACATAATATCCAAGTGACCATCATAGTCATCATATCGCTAATGTTTTAATTTTGTGTAAACAAATATATTTTACAGCAAGCATTATATACATCATATATGGAACACAACATGACATAATGACTGTGATACTTAAAGCGCGGTAAATATATGGGTCTTGTATAAACAAAGATGGCGACTTTGACTGTTGCGCTGATCAACGAGTACGAACTGAGACGTTCCCAAGCTTTAATTAAGTAATTTTCATGTTATTGAAAGGCATAGAAAGAGTCGCGCCCAGGTCAAACCTCATACTTGTGATTTCCATTTGAAGAACGCATTGGATTGTGGGAAAATCAATGTTTATCAACACAAATGTGGCACATGCGCAGCGCGACGACTACCACGCTTTAACCATTTCATCACCAGACTTCTCGCCCAAATTTGTTGGCACTTTTTTTCCTATATTTTTTAATATTTCTGGAAATGAACCCTACCGGTAATTTGGGATCCAACAGAGAAAATTTAAGTCAATTTTGTTTTTTTTCTAAAAAAATGTGGCTATTGTTGTCTAAATATTCTGGAGGAAAGGGCAGACTATAACAGGACTACCAGTATTTTGTAAATTTGTGATGAAAAGAGGGAACTGGTGGTAGCTGATGAAAAAATTTATCACTCATAGTTTTTGAATTTCTTTACAGGGACACCATTTTATTTGAGAATATTCTTGATTTCCAGTTCAGTGGGATTTTTTTTCTTTTTTGTATTACTTCATGTCCGCCGTTACCTCTTAAGAGCACTCCTGTCATACAAGGGATGGCTATGTAAGTACAACTTTCCATTTTTAGATTTTTTTCGAAAATTCTTGTTTGATATTTAAAGCTACAAGATATTGTTACTCGCCTTTTGAGCCCTATGTACATGGATGTACAAGATGCTATAGATGTTAGTTTTATAATGGGAAACTTTTAGCAAGGCTTCAATATGACCACCAATATATTGGCAACAATGTTTAAAAAACAAACTTCTGTAGCCCCTCGGATCACAGGGCTAAAGACGCACAGACTTACAGTTCCTGCCCTACTGTTACCATTCAGTATTTTATATTTTTGTATTTCAGTCATAGTATTTGCATAAGTTATGAAATGTCATAAAATATCTGGGGTCAAAAAGTCATTTTTGGTCAAAAAAATAAAAATGATGTTTTTTCTTATTGGCAATGCATTGATCAATTTAATTCAAACTTCACATATAGGTTATACACAATACATTACATATATTGATAAAAACAATTCACAATCAAAGTGTTTTAAGGTCAATTTATGTTATTTTTGGCCAAAAGAAGAATGTTGAAGCTTAGAATTGATGAACTTCATTCAAACATGGAATATATACCCAGTATTATGAGACACCGCTTCAAGGGACGGAGTTTTGTGGTTCAAGCACATTCATTGGGAACTAACTTGTTCAAGTTGATTCAAACAATACTTTGTCTTGTTGATAATGAGAGTCCCAATAATTGTTTTGCTCAGTTTTGGGTTTCCTACACCAAGAAGTACATTCAAGTCATACATTCAGATGCTTATGTGGTTGCATCGATCCTGCTATACATTGATTATTTTCTCGCTTTACCATCCTTGTGTCTTGTTGTATTTTTTCAGTAACCTCATATAATAAAAATTGATAATCTCTCTCTCTCCATTTATATACAAAAGAAAGTGGGTGTTCTACAAAAAAAAGAGAACATGTCTGTTTGAATCCTGCACTTCACATATTTTTTTTTTTTTAGTAAAAACACCGTTGTTTGAGGATTGAATGCTGACCTTCCACCTAATATTTTGTGTAGTTCATCCCAAAATGGCATAGTTTTTGGATCTCTGCTTCTGTTGTTGTGCTCAGTCACTTCTCTGTACTTTAAACGTAAAGTTTTGATCTTCCGTTGACATTGTAATGACGTCCTGTCCAACCCCTTTTCAGCCGCTTTTTCTGCAATCACAGCATATACTCTAGCATCCCTAGACGTTCCGTCCATCATTTATTGAATATTCGATTCTCTCTATACAGATATCAGTAATCTTGTTTCTTCGTCTGACCAGTTCGACATTCGACCTGTAAACTCTGACACCATCTTGTGTAATGACAAGCATAAATAAGTCGGAGATAGAGGGCTTTTGGCTGCGTATTGTGTTCAGACGGCACATTGCGTTGTGCAAGAGTCGGTGTGACAACGGCGTTTAGGATCTGGTCCACCCCTTTTACGACGGTGTCAAAAACACCAACACCACAAGGGCGTATTCTGTTCACACACACACATTTTAACAATGTTCTCAAATAAAAGGCGTTGTTGTGACAATGACTTATTTCGTCCAGTGAGAACACCACTATATAACTTGTATGCTGTTGTTGTGGTATTAAATAATTCTAATACAAAAAAAATAATAATAATACCATGTCCATGCATCATTTTTTCAATTTTTTTCCTGGCCTAACTGTATGTGTGGGAGGCTAACAAAACAACACGTGTTTTTTTATACTCCAGTTTTTCAGAAAGCTATTAAAAAACCTGGTCCACATTTACAAGCAAGCTAGTACATGTAAATATAGCAAATCAACAAAACAAAATCTTCTTTGTCGTGTATTACGGTAGTATAACCATGGGCTAGGATTATTACTTTGCATCCATTACGCTTTGATGTACATGTACATATTACACAGTGCATGTAGGTGAAGACCAGCCAGAAAACAGATCAAGAATACAACAGTAGAATGCACATATGTGATGCAGTCCACAACATGCTGGGCTTGAGCTTCAGTGCAGGATCAATATCAATTTTTTTTGTGCCCAAAAAATTTGTCTTTGTGTCCTTCAATATTCCCTGTATTATTTCTGCATGCTCTGGCAAGGGGTGCCCCCACAACTCTTAAATTCAAATCCACACTGGCTCATACCACTAATTAGAACGCCATAAATAACCATGTGAGCGTTCGTGTGAATTTGTCAAAAAAACGTGTTTTCAAAATATTGTTTTTTGTTGGAACCACATGTATGTAATGTAAAACACATGTTGGCCAGCTCAAACCGCTACAAAGTGGATGTTAACAAAACACACAGATTTATCAGGCATTTCACCGTCAATATTCACAGAAAAGCAGCCAGGACAGTGTCTTACTGAGATTTGCCCAGATCCACAGGTCACTGGTACTTTTCAATCAACAAAACCTCACTCATAAGTCTTACAGCTGCCGTAATTGAAATATGCCCTCACACATCGTGTTTCAGATAAAACATGGTGACAAAACCCATATATAGCTAACAATAGGTTACAGATAGGTTTCTTATAATTAGTGGTATGAGACCTTTCTGAGGAATTAGACTGATTACAATTTGTTTTTGTCCACATCAGATCAGACTCCAAAAAGGGAATCTTGGATTACTATAATATGGGGTGGATTAGTCCGTCTTGTTAGCGGAGGCTCACCGCTTACATATAGTTACCAACTTAGTCTGCCAAGACAACAGGTACCCACTATCTCTGACACAATAAAGCAAGTGTTGGAATCTGTGGAGCCTGTCCTACCAGCTGAAAAAGTAGAAGAAATGAGAATACAAGCAAAGGTATGTATGTACCCCTAATTGTGTAGGGTTCCTGTCTTAAATGTGTTAAAAAGGTCTTAGCCCAACTCTGCCTTTTCTGAGGCTTCGAACAAGACTAAAAAATGATATTTTCGCTATTTTCGTGATTCAGTGAAAATAAAATCCAATGACTCCCTTTTCCCCTATATTTTACATTCAACTTGTTAAAAACCATTGAAAATTAAATCCCATACAAAACACTCAAAAAGTCTTTTCAGCGTAAATTAATTCCAGCTAAAATAAAGTATCTGTATCTCCTAAATAAGCACTCATAAACTGCATCTATTGTATGCTAGATTATTAAAATGTGTCTTACCCCTGGTATTTTGAGCATTGACTTACTCATGTGTACTAGAGCAAAAAACAGCCTTAAATTCACCTAAAATTGGTCTTATACTGTTTATTAAAAAAAGTCTGATGAGCTGAAACTGTAGGGACCTTGTCACTGATATTTAATTTCATTATATCGATAACTCAGGATTTTAAATTAAATTTTTAAATTCACAGTTTAAATGTTCACATAGATTAACGTTTGGTACCATCAACAAACTTATTGTGTGCAGTCTGCTCCTCCGCATATAAAATGTTGATAAAAATTAACAAACCCTTTGGTCAAAAACTTTATGAACCAAAATAATGATAAGATTTAGTGAAATTCTCACAAAATGTGAACATATATTACAAATATATATATGTACTGTAAAAATAAATATTTGCACTGAATTTTGGGTGAGAAAAAAAATAAAACTTGCGCATCCTCTGTTGCATGCTAATCACAAAAAGGCTAACAGAGAACAAATTTACATCAAACTGAAGCAGTACATGTATTTATATTTGCTCCCTTAGGGGAAAAATTTCGCTAAGTGATTTTTTAGCTTGTATGATGTAAGAAAAAGTATACTTTGAGAATTGACATGGTATCAGATATTTGGGATTTTATGCAACTACGTATAAGCAGTGAAAAAATTAGCCTAATTTTGGAATAACCTTGTTTGTTTTTTTAGGAATTTGAGGCAACTTTAGCACCTAAACTACAAAGAACATTACAGATCAAGTCTTGGTGGGCCTCAAATTATGTCACAGAATGGTGGTAAGTGGTCATCTTCCAGTCACTTCATAGAGAAATGTACTATTCACACATACATGTACACATCTCCGATAGAGGTGCATGTAAGCACAATATATTTGTTTTTTACTGTGACCATATTTAAATGCATGCAATTTTACAACTGGAACTAGAAAGTACTTTTGAAATTAGGTAACCCTCACTCTTATTAAACATTTTTTTTATACCAATGGCCTGTTTAAATTTGTTGGCCAAATAAAATCGTGATAACAAACCTGGAGTGTCACAGCTAAAATAACGCTGAATACTGTAAAGTGCCTTATTTTCACTAGGTTTAAATTCCAGGCATATTCAGTGGGTTTTAAATTCATGGTTTTATCATTTAGATAATGTGTTCTATGCTAAATTTTACATATTCACTGGGTTTCAATTAAGCGCATTTTCCAGTCAGGAAAATAAGCAAAATCGAAATCCAGTAAATAATTAATCCTTTTATAGTATATGGCAGTGTTAATATATAGTATGTTAAATCAAAGAAAACATGTGGGGGTATGCGTTTCAAACAAACGCATGTATAATATGTGATCATCACAGTACATTTTCATACCTTTCAGCCACAGGGCATCCCCGAAAAATAATGCCTAATAACCAAGCTTATGCAGAGAGTCTTGAAACCTTTCCATGCCAATCCATGTCGTACATTGTAGCAAGATATTTAACTTATCAGCCCCCCCCCCCCCCCCATATGAGTCTGCCTTTGACAGTACTTATAAGAGCTCAAAAATAACGGTAGCCCAAAGAACACAGACTATCAATCTTGTCCTGGGACTACCACTTCCAATATACAGTAATCAAACTGGACTACGAGAAATTTGCGAAATAATATTACCCCAATTATGAGTACAAATTGAGCAAAATTACATTTATTTCTATTGACACTTCTTTGCATGGATATAAGTACCCATTACAGCAATTCCAGGCACTGATTTGACGCTGAAGTAGTGCTAGATGTTGATAACTTACTACAATAGGTTACACACTTTGTTTTCACAATTACAGAAGGTGTTACAAATAATGCAGACAGCAAGTCTTCAATTTGAAGCGCACCGGAAGAAAGCTCCGCCCATAAAAGTGGCGGTACATTAGTTTTGAATTTCTCCTCCAATAAACGATCGAGGCTTTTAACTTAGTTTCGTACTTCAATTTGCGCCACATGTTATTTCAGTAAGAGGGGCGCATAAAGTGGTGGCACTGTAAAGAACGTTGGTTACCCGTAGAGTTATTTTACAGAACCAGCTGACCGACTGATCATGACAGAATTATTGATCAAAGTGCCTGCAACAAATGTCGTATGAAGACTTCATCCAGTATATCAATAATGAAATTGAATACATAAGTAGAATGGGTGTTATTTGATTATTAGTTCTCGAGATGAGAACCAAAAGGTTGATGTGCCGCCAAATAAGACAACACACAATCGCACGTCCGGGGAGGGTTTGCCACCGTACACAAGTAGTTTTTGTCGAATTTCCTGTCCGTAAATGTGCAGTCACAATGTTTTATAATATTCGACATAGTCTATAATGTTGTCAGTTTCCTGGCAAGATACTCTCGGTGGTAACAAACCGTTTGACGATATTATAAGCTGTCTGCTTTGAAACAACATTTCGATCTCCAATCTCAGCAAATGACAGTCCATGAAAATACAAATCGACAACTCTTGTTCTCACTTCAACTGGTTTCTCGACTCCTTGCTTCTCCACCGTGGTGCTTAAACAACTTGGACAAATGCCGATTTGTAGACTGACCAAAAGTGACTGAAAGACAGACGCGCCGCAAAGTCTGGGGCATCAGACTTTGTGTAAAAATAGAAAACATTGTGGGCAATATCTGTCAATCATTCCTCTGATTTGCAGCCGATGTTTATACTTCTAGTTACAACTTGTGTAAATTTGAAAACAAAGTATGTAACCTATTGTAGTAAGTTATCAACATCTTGCACTACTGCAGCGTCACATCAGTGCCTGAAA